GAGGTAAAATTAGGAGAGAGGGCGTCGTTGAAATTCGGCAGGATGTTCGACTAGATTTTCTCAGGTATCACTCAGCGGCACGAATCGAGCGTGTGAATAATGGAGGGTAATCGCCCTTGCCAGTCTCCGTCGACCTTCGCCCCTCGGGGGTACCAAGGTGGGAGATACAGAAGGGTGGGATTTCTAGATTGGATTTAAGTACACAGCCGTGAGGTTTCAACCGGTTAATAATATAGATAAAATCGAGACTTCCAAGACTACGGGAGACGTAGCGATGTTGCATTGCGTTGCTGTGAACTTGAATTCCTCGCTTCCTATCGTACCTATATCTATCGCGTCCTCCTTCACTCTCCGCCGCCGTTCGTTCATTCGGTCGGTCGTTTAATATTCCAGAAACTGACAGGACACCGAAATACATCACGTTGTACTAAAATAAACATCTGACACCTGCTCTTTCAAAATAATCAACAATTAACGACGTTTCGAAATTGAATTAAACAGCTTATCGAATTGACGGATATGGATTTCTGATAGCAATTTTGTTTGCGGAAACGATTAGTATCCGCGTTCAAGTAAATTGCTTTCGCCGTTAATGTGAAAATTCGAAAGCAATTAGAGTCAGAACGAGGTCTTTAAAATTTGGTAAACAAAATTTATACATTCATTTAAATCAAAATTTTACCCGTTGGATATTTATTTGTTATTCCCGAGAAAAGCGAAGAGAAATGAAATAGAAGTACACATCACATAGTTCAGAAGTATCACGTTCCACTCTCACGTGGAAATCGGCCGTCAGCGGACAAATTTCAAGAATTTATTACAATCCTCGGCAGAGCCGTTGTCGTCGCGTTTGCACGATTAAGGAAAGTTCCTGTTTTTTTACTTTAAAAACGAATAAGAAGAAGAAGTGTGTAGAGAAAAATCCGACAGGAGAATGAAGGCTGGCGAGAGACGGAGGGATGCGCGAAAACGAAGGAAACCTTTTATGCGAAGGCCAGCTGGCTCAGCATGACAAAAATTCTTTCAATTACAGAAAAGCGAATTCTCCTTAACTCCCGGGCATCGATATTCATAGCGAAGCGTGTTACGTAAAAGTTACGACGGTATTCGGGCTTCTCGCGAGCCGGAGAAAGAGAGCGAGCGAGAGGAGGCGAGGATGCGGATCAGACTGCAGCCCGGTTATAGGCACTCGAATACGGGGTGGTAGCGCGAAGAGGGTGGAAAAGTATAACGGAGAAGAAGAATTGGGCAGCAAAAAGGGGGAGAGGGATACCGAGCAGCGGCTTGATTGGAAAGGACAGCCTATCCGCAATTTGCGCGTCGGGAGAAGGGGGTAGGAGGTGAGAACTCGCTTGTCTTTCATCGGGACTTTCTTTCCCTCTTTTCTTCACTTCTACCAACGTTGCCACCGACCCCTATTGCCCTCCCCGGTACCCCCGTTTCCTCACCCCGCTTTTTTCTATTTTCCATCAACCGTTCCTTCTCTGCTAAGCATCCCTCTGCTTCTGCTTCTACGCAGGCAACCCCTTTTTGCATTTCAAGAGAGGAGGAGACGAGCTCGTCAATACCCGCGGTGCTGTTCTTATCCGGTCGGATCCTTTAGAATCTCACTCGGATCCTCGCGGACCCGTTTCGATATTAACCCCGCCACGGGATAAACGGCCTCGTGATTCTAATGAAATATCGACACCAGTGAAAGTGTGTTTAATCAGAAGATGCCGACGTCGCCTTCGCGAATTCCAAACTGATCGAGGGGGAAAAGGGATCTGATGCCGTTTCGACGTATCCTTTACTCTAATGATGAAGAAAAAACGTGAATTGGTCCTGATAAGTGAACGCGAAACAATTACAGGAATATTTCATTATCTACCGCCGAATTTGTGATATAGATTTGCATCAGCCAGGATTGGTGGAAACTGTTTGTCGGATTCTATTTTCCGTCTCTTCTCGCATTAAACGATTCAAGATGTTCGCTATATCGATAATCGACAATCGTGCTAATATTAACACGCAATCTCCGTATTCGCCTGCACCGAGTTTAACCACGGCGTTCTATCAAAACGAATACAGGTCGAGGCATTTTATTTTTCACGGGGTCAGACCAAAATGCACGGCTGTCCTGACCATCAAACTGATGGCTACATTATTTAGGAATATCTTATTTCGTTAATCTATTGGTACAAACCAGTACATTCGATCTTGGCGTTCGAATACAATATTAACAGCTCTGCGATTATATGTCAAAGGTAATTTCATTTGAAGCTGTTTATAAATCTATTTATCCGATTCTCACGGAATAGCGATAAAATGCCCGTTATTCCTGAGTTTTCGTTGACGTCACGACACTCCTCGCGAGACCTTCCAATTCGCGTTTAAATTATAAACAGCGTCAACCAACGTCAGGAGAGGCTTTGATCGACTTCGAAACCGCAGGAACTCAGACCGGCTGGATCTTACGACGCGACAATCAGGATCTCCGTTTCGGGGCTCGAACTCGTGTGGCCACTCTCGTCTCTAAGTTTCCCGTCAATCTTCGTACGAACATCGCTACCCACTAATTTTAGAGAAAGGTTAATGGATCCTAACGGAATCTTCTCATGAATCAATCCTATACGTGTTCTTCACTTCGAAATTAATTAGTGTATCCAAATTCAAACACCCTTTGTCAATTAGGTCTTGTCTTAGGAAGTAATCGATAAACTATTTTTAATCTTTCTCTTAACTTCTGCGACTTGTGAATTAAACATTTGTTTTGCAATCATTATACTACACATGACCATAACACAGAAGTGTTTCAAATTAGTTCCTACGACATGTTTTTGACAAGGATTATTATTTATATACCCTCAACTACGAATATTTAAACTCCCAATCAATAAGTTCGCAGGATTGAACAGAACTTATCTATTTGACAACGAGATCACAATGAACAAGAGGACAGTAAATGCTAATACTTAATCGCTCGAAGAAAACAATTGGAGGCATTAGCAGAGTCGGCAGGTTCGAACCGAATTCGGAATCAGCATCGTGCTGAAGTAGCAAAGGCTGGTAAGACTGGTCCCTCCGTATGGAGGGCAGGAAGTCGCGGTCAGAGCTGACAAGTGGTCAGCAGAACTTGATAGTTTCTCAAAACTCGATCTTCGGAATCGTCTCGAATCTCACGCTGTTCAGGAGACCTTTACAATTTTCACACAGCAGCCACGAATCTTTTCTCTCATTACCATCCACAACTACAATTAATTAAGATGATCACAAGGATTGGATCTTGAATAGCTAAGAAACAGCTAAAGAATACTTTTAACTAGATTACACATGAAAATCATTTATATTCTATAAATCGTATTTATATCTCGCTCGACAAAAATTGACAGTACATATTTACATCTGAAGAGTTCGATCATACCATCCTAACGATCGTCGAACTTGTCGGCTTGTTTTAGCCGCGAGCCACCAAACGGGTTCAAGTAGGAAAAACTAACTGGATCTCTGTATCGTTTAAATAATATCAAAAATATCGGCCTTTCTCTCGCCCTACGCATTTATGTATACGTGTAGGACCGACGATAAGCGAATCTCTGTTTGCACGTAACCAACAGGCGAGCAGATGTACGTATCGCACGTGTAATTCAGGGACCCGTGCATACGTATTTACCTGGTGCGTCACGTGAACTTGATATTCACCGGTTACTATCTACGCACACGCGCTCGCAAACGCCGCGTATCAATAACAATACCACCCCTTCTGCTAATGTGTACCGCGCGCTTATTAAAATTATTTGTCCCCCACTGGTAGCCGCTATCGATATCGAGAAGGTCTTATCAAGCAATCGCGCGCAAAGCGGAATGGAGAACGAGCAAAAACGTGTTCACGTATTATAATCTCTCGAATTAAAATGAATAAAAGAAAGTGCATAAAGCAATAAGAAAAGGTGAATGAATTCTTGAAAACGAAAATATCCTATCTACTTTATAAGGTATAATATTTTATCATGAGATTACAGTAAATGTTAAATTTTAATAAACAGTGACGCGATTGAAGGCGTAATTAAAATATAAAATATAATGTAATTCTCAATTTGCTTTCACAAAAGGAACCCCTTGCGAATGACCACGGTTTTAAAAACTCATAATGTATAGAGAAACCAGTCGCAGTTTAAAGAAACGTGTGCCACGTGTCACGTATATGTGCATTCGGAAGGTGATTTTATGTACCTGGCTATGTGCGACTATATCCGTTCTCCCTTTCGAAAAAGCGACCGTCGAAAACGCCGCTTTAAGGGCAATAAAACATTTGTTTCCCTCGGCGCGGCGGTGCTACCAACCCACCGTCATGGCACGGCGTGGCTATATTGCGTTGAGCCGCGAACGCGGGATTTCGAATTGAATTTGAAATCAGGGGTCTCGATTTTATGGTGTCAAACACCTCGACGGTTCTTTGAGCTTAGAGAGGAAACTTTAACCCCGAAACCCTCTGCGCACGATGATCGTTATCGGCTTACTGTTAGCGTATCGATGCAAGATGCGACTGTTGAACAGTTCAATTTCATTTTCGATTTCCTACGGGACTCGTAGACTCGTAGGACAAAGATACGAGGGAACAGGGACCGTAAGTCTTGGAGTTCCTTATCGCGGAAAGATTCGTTCATTCCGAGAAATCAATGAGTCGAGTCCTGGCCAGCTTCTAACAACCGGATTCCGCTTTATCGTGCGTAAGCAGATGTTTGCTTCTAAAATTAGTGCTATTTACGGAGTGATGTCGTCGTTTAATAATAACCCTAGCTCCGCGCTCTACATACTATAAATTCAGGAAAAAACATGATTCACGAATGAACGTCACAAAAGAAAATCGCGTTTCAAAATCGTTCCGAGGTACTCTTCGCGTGCGCGAGTTCTTTGGAACAGCGTTGTAACGCGCGCAGCCCGTAGGTAGATGAAGAAGAGAACGATGCACAGAGAGGGTTATCTTATCGAAAGTAAATTCCCAGAGATTAATTTCTTACCTGGTCGTTGTCTTGTTGATCTTGCCCGTACGAGGGGGTGTCACCGTTAGGGGTGGTGGCGGCGGAGGGTCGCTGTGACGTTGACAAGTTGATCGCGCCGTCTCCGTCTGTGTCATGATCCATTATGCCATCGTCCTGAAATCACGATCATCGTTACGTCAAACAGAGGTCTCTTCGCTGGCCCGGTGCACTGAACTACGTCGTTCCGTTCAATTTATTCGCGCGTACCCGTGTTTTTTGTTGCGTCACGCGACAAAATTTCTCTGACCAATAGTAATACATGATTTCACAGTCACGTCCGGGTTGTTTACCATACGCGCGGCACGAAAGCTTTTCGTACGAGTCACAGTTAAAAAGAATGAAGAAGACGAAAATTAGCTTCTCCGTGAAACGCTCGGAAGTGCGGCTTTGTTATCCGATATTAACCACGGCGGTGGAACAATTTTAGATCGTGTATGACGCATTTGATTCCTTACACTCTCGGTAAACGCAACAATGTTTAGCTGCCCGCACCGCGCACGCTGCTAATAATATATTCTATCGTTCCGAAAGACAGCCAGAGAGCACGGACAATAAAGATCGAATTCCTGTCCTCGATCGCGATTACAAACAAGATTAGTTGGATGGGAAGAGTTACACACTTTGAGAAAACTTGTTGATTCTTGATGTCAGCCGTCCTTCACTAAACTTGGGATTCATCGATATTTTCAAACAATCATCCTTCCATCGCGCTCCAATTTTTGAGTACAGCCTCCCGCTGTACGACGAAACGATAAAAGTACGAGGAGGACACAGTCAACGCGAATACCACTCACGGTAAGGGGCAGCGACTTCAACGGTTATACCGGAAGTGCACGCGTCCACTAGCTGGCGCACAACGATTACGCGAATGAACTGCAATTGAATCCGTTCACCAAACTTGTATAAATCACGAACATGCTGGCCCCCGAATCTACCACAATTTTTGCACACACTGAAAAACTCGTTGAAAACGCACGTGAAACGCGGCGTAACCATTAAACCGAGGGGTACATAGTAGAAAAGGGGGAGGTGGTAAAAGACAACGAGGATGATGAGGATGATGAGGATGATGAGGATGATGAGGATGATGAGGAAGAAATAATAACAATGACGAATGCACAGAACCGAACGAAATCGCGGGTGGCGGAGGAGGAATTTAAGAGGGAAACGAGTCACGTCGTAAAGAAGACGAAAAGCAACGTTCGCGCGGCGACCGAGTAGCGAGGACTAAACACTAAAAGCGGCACAGGCACAGGCACACCAAGCAGCCCAACCGGCGAGGCTGTTGCTTATTGTGTAAATATAAACAAATATAGTTGAAACGAACCAACAGGCCTGCTTTCAGTTCGCCCCCCCCCCTCTCTCCCCGCCGCTGCCGCTGCCACTCGGTCTTCCACTCTTGGGTGCCCTACCTTCTCTGTCGGCATCTCCCCCTTCTCCCCTTCCACACTTATCACGGCCTCTGTCCTACTCCCCTATCTTCGTCGCGTCTGAAGACTTCTCTCGCCCCCTCTTGCTTCACCGTAACACCCACCCTTCGTCACGTCCCTGACCCCGCTGCTGCCAGGCAAACCAGTACATCATATACAGACACGTTGTACCGTGGCTTGGCTTTGCTTCTCTCATTCCCTTTCTCTCTTTCTTGCCTTCCACATACTCCTCTGTCTTCCCATATGCTCGCCCGTGCTCGAACATTACACACCGTCTCGTCGTCTCGTCGCACGGTTGTTTGGCAAACGACGCCTGACTCCGTAACACGCGCGGCTGCTGGCCGGCTGGCTTCATTGCGATCAACGGACACAAGAATTTTTGTAAAGAGTGACGAGGTTTCGGACTCCAATTCCTGAAATTCCAATTCCTAAGAGAAATCGGAGATTGGTTCCGGTTCTCATCGCGCTAGATAAGGATCGCTTTGTTCGTCTTACGGATCGCCAGTCAATGTCTCTTAATTTGAGAGAGATCAGACTCCCGGAGGTTCTTCATCAATATTATTAATCAAATTACGGAAAAGGAATTCCGGTGAGCATAAGAGAACGAGCAGACATTGGCAGGTTGGATATCCGAAAGGCAGATACTCTTTAAGCTAGCCAACAGAGAGACGAGTGTTAGGTACACGTTCAACAGTTCAATCCGCGGAGTTACTAATAAACTCTGAATATTCCCCGTTCTTTAGTTGACTGATTATATGTATATAGACGCGAGTATGTAACCGCGCACACTGCTGCTCCGTAAATACGTGTGTTACACGTGTTGTCTGACGCAACCTGAACCACCGGCTCGAGTTTGTATAGGCGAACCGGAAATGGGGGACGAAATATTCCTCGAAACGGCGTGTCCTTAAATATGTATATTCCTTTCACTCGTATTTCAAACGCGCGACAATCGGTCACCGCGTCCGGTTACGCTTTTAAAATTTGTCGCTGACGTCTCTAAAGATCATTCGGATCTTGTATTATCGTACAATGTGATAGGAATATATAGCAATTATATTAATTATGTAAAACAACAACAACAAAAATAGTCAAATTTTTAATTTTTACGACAGCCTTTCTACGATTCGCTCTTTACATTGAAATGAAACAGACGGGAGTGTAGAGGAATCTTGTGAGAAACTTTATTAGACGCACGATAGCAGTTGTATCAAAACCGTTCCAGGCAAATCCTCGGTTTTAGCCGTTCCCATTGTTGAACAAGCTAGGTATATCCCATACAGCAGTGGTCGTTCAGCGAGGGGTGCCACGACCCATCGCACGGTCCTATGACAACAAAACTGAGGGCAAAAATAGGCGCAGCCGGCCTGGCTAGGCTTGTGTACGTGGCGCACACTAAATATGTATTTATTAAGTAAACAACCATTGCATTGGAGTTCTAGGGTACATACGTACGTACGTCGCGTTTCCGATTACATTGTGAGCCTGTAATGCGCTCCCAGTGAATTCGATGGTGTTTGGTTACGTCACGGTGCACGGACGTGGATGCGTACTGACTATGATTATTTCGTACGATATGGAATTATTATTCTATTACTTCCATCTCTCTTTTCGTCCTTTACATTTGGATTGAGTAGATTTCCGCGAGGTTAATAAATAATATTGTTGCAAATAAAATTAATTACCGCTTGGGCATTTAATGAGTTGAGGGACATTATTCAATACAAATCAATTATGAAGAGGGTAAAAAAGAAAAGAGAACGAGACCCAAACGCAACGCGAGATTAAGAATGGATCTGAACGAAACGTTTCGCGCGTATGAGTATCCTAGGGTTGGTAAGGGTGTACGAGGGCGTATGATCGAGCAAACCGACCGTAAAGAAGGATAATCGCCCAGAGTCGAAGTAAGAAGAGATAACGAGATCGTATATCCCCATCAAAAAGGAGAGAAGAACAAGGTAAACGCTTCGTCCATGTGTGCACAGGCCCTGACCACTCTTCTACGTACGGACACGCACTCCGAAGTTCGTGTTCCCCTTCTAAATAATAAACGAGAGGATTTACCCCCGTCAGGTTCGCGCGCGCCAGTACATAAAAATACTCGAATCTGAGAAATTAGCGGCAGAGGACTAACGGGACCCCGGTTCGTGGCAAGAGTCAGAGAGGGAAGGAGCAAAACGGCGACGCGTGAACAGGATGTAGAAAAAGAGAGTGAGAGAGAAAGAGAGAGAGAGCGAGGGCTTGGTAGGGGATCGGCGGAGGCGTTTCGGTCCCGGGTGCCGAGTGCCGGCGCAGGAAAAAAGGGTACCTAAAAGGGTTGAATTAATGTCGCGATAAATATATGATTTAAGGTGGAAACGTTTGCAACTCCGGCTAATTTTTTATCTGAGACCGCGGCCGTGCTCCTCGTCGAGAGGGTTTTTACTCTAGAAAAGAGAGACCGACGATCTCTCGAGCGAGCCACACTTGGACCAAGGGGGTTGAAACTCCGCGAGGGGAGAAGGAAACAAGCTTTAGAAAGGAGGAACCGAGAGGCGGCGTGGACGGGATGGTTGAAACCCGAGCACGCGGCAGGGTGACAGTCCTGGAGAGTGGTCGAATCCAACGGTTATTTCTTTTTTCGGGTAATTTACTACCGGCGAGAATTTGAGCGGACGCGCGCTTTTTAATAGTTCGCGCCACTCCAAGGACTCTTTTCCTTTTTCTCGTCCCCCGCAGCTAACCGTTTGTATGTCTGTCTGCCTGCCTGCCTGCCTGCCCTCATCTTTTTCTCGTCTGTCGTACAGGACGATCAGCTAAAGGGACAACGCGGCGGCATCGTTCCGCCGCGGTTACGATGAAAATTACGAGACTATAAAGCGACCATCTACGACGGAGTTTGAGTCATTCGACTCTGCCAGCACATTTTACTACAGATTACTCATCGCTTTTTCAAACAAAAATAATCATGAGAATTCATATGGCGTATAAACATAGTATCCGGAAGATAAGAAATATAATTGAATGACATTTATATCATACTTAACGTGTAATCAATTACACGTATATGACTAGCTTCTTGTAAGGTCAGTACCAAGGAACAAGAGCTAAAATACACGGGATTTCCTACGGCAACCATCCATCGTGCATTTCCTCGTACAATTTCGCGCCGACTTTCCGAAATCCTTCGCAGATTGTACGTCATTCGATTTTCTGGGTGAAAGCATCCCCGCGGGACCGCAAACATCCGCTCCCCAATTATCCACGACAGCGAGACTCGCGTGTATCAGCGAGGCATACGTGACAACGACACGGCGAGCACGAATCGGAACTACCACTCTCGCCGCTGGCACCCTTTATTTCTTCGCCGATGTAAGATAGAAAAGGAAAGAGGACGGAGGCCGGTCGGGGCCCACCCTTTGCAGGAAACGTGAACGGGCCACGATCGCTTAGGTTTCCGCAGCGTCGACGCTTTTTGAATTAACCGGCTGGACATTAGAATACGAAATTGATATATTATAGGGCGTAGAAGCGAGCCCCGGCTCTCCCCTTCTTCGACCCTCCGTTGAAAGGCCGCGAAACCGCGTGGGTTAGACGGAATCGTGAAAGAAGGAGGGCGGATGGTCCGGTTACACACACTCTCTAGGCATGACTGGTCGCCGTTCGCATCTTTCATCGCATTATCTGCCCTCGTAAAACACGCCT